TTCTTGAGAAGAATAATTGATACTCGGTATGGTTTAGGTATTATTATCATTTTCTATCAAACTGATGTAATCGATCAGTGAATTTGCGGTGTCTATCTGTCGCAATAACCGTCAAGAATGACTGAATGTAATGATGTCAAGATACCGACGTCATTAAATTTTTATGTGTGGCATAAATAAAGCCACACATTATTAATTAACTAAGGACTCCCATGAAAGGAAAATATGTGCTTTAACACCATAAAATTCAACATAAAACTGTAATAAAACGAGGCTTTTTTTTTTTTTGAAAATGTAATAATAGGAAGTGTAGACTATTAGTTATTGAAGTTTATAATTCGGAAAACTTTTAATGAATTGGAACATAAACAAGGTAGCTAGGTAAGACTAGGTTTAGTTAATTAATTATAGAAAAGAAGTTGTCCTAAATAGAAATACAAATTTTTTTAATTCAAAAAATGAATGCATATATAAACATGACAGTTAGGATTGAGTTTAGTTAACTATTCAAAAAAATGTTTTTAGCTTACCATACTTTAAATATGATAATATTTTCTATACTAGATAATAATTACACATTTTTAGCTTACCCACATTTTAAAATTGTAAATATTTTTATTTAAATTGTGTGAATTTATTCAAGTTTTCAATTTGCGAACCGTGGTCTGATGGCATAAGTGTAACACTCAATCTCATGATTTAAGAAGTTTTGCCAAAAAACCTTTGGACCAGTCGACAATTCAATTTTTTTGAGGATACGTCGTATGATCGTATCTTATACGGAATATTAATCCGTATTAAGTTGAGGTAAAAAACTAAAAAGTAGCAAAGGTAATGATTTTGAATAAAACAGTTGGGCCATCACGACATGCGAGGAGAGATTCCGATACGAGCCTATTTGACCTATGGTTTGACTTTTTAGAGATTAACTTTTTTACCCCTGAAATTGCATGGGATATTGAATTAATTAAATAAAGTATAGGTGGGGCCGAGGACACCGAGAGACCGGCAGAGCTTCAAGCCGAATAATGTGTTGCTGACGCTTGCGGGCGCCGGGCTGCTGTGGATGGGGTGGGCGGGGTTCAACGGCGGCGACCCTTACACCGCGAACATCGACTCCTCCCTGGCGGTGCTGAACACCAACATCTGCGCCGCCACCAGCCTCCTGGTTTGGACTTGGCTGGATGTCATCAAATTCAAAAGGCCGTCTCTCATCGGAGCCGTTCAGGGAATGATCACCGGTCTCGTCTGCATTACTCCTGGTGCAGGTATCAATATTGTTATTTGGACATTTAAGGTGGGGATTCTAAATTAATAAACATTTCAATATGATACCCGATGAATGTTAAAAAGGATTTACATTGACATCAAATGCCGATATTTTAATGAAGGGATTTTTGGAGTAAAAGTGATTAAACAGGAATATTGTAATTTATGGCAAATTGAAACAAGTAATCACTAATTTTAGGCATTTACAAAAGTAATCTGAAAGTTTTCACAATAATAATCTAAAGATTTTAACCGTTATTTATAAAATAAATCGGTGGAGTTAAGTTTTTCATGTAACTTATTTGTATTATCAATTTAATTTAATACTCATTATTTATCCTAAAGTATTTATCCTACAATTTTAAACACATACGATAGTACTTACCAAATACCAATCACTCTTTTATGTTGTACGTACTACGGAGTATTTCTTATAAATATTTATGTGTAGACATTTGCAAGAATATGTCCACTCTTTAATTACCATGGCCCGTATGGGGCTTGGCCCAATTTATAGGCTAGCGTTAATGGGCTAGTCGGACCAATATGGATTGGGTATCTTAGGTAGACCCTCAGCTTGCCAAGTTATATACCAGACTTGGTCTGTTCGTGGGCTTTAAGTTGAATGGCCCCATCAACATATGTTAATGAGAAAAAGTAAAACACATCATCATTTATGATAGGGAAAATTGTCAAATCAGTCCACGTACTATTACGAAAAAGTCAATTGAGTCCATGTACTATTTTTTCAATCAATTAAGTCCACCAAGAGTCAAAAAATGATCAAATTTGCCTTTTCTCCGGTAACTGATCCATTCCCCGGTTAATAGGCCTACGTGATCATCCAAGTGACTTTTTTTTTCCATGTAAGCGCTTATTTGGCCATCCTTGTGGCATTAAATTATCTTTTTCCTTTTTTTATTCTTTCTTGTTCTTCTTCAACGAACCGTTCCTGCAACTCTCCTTCAATTTCCTTTTTCTTGTTTCTCTTCTCTTTTCTTTCTTTATTCTCTCCTCTTCTTTCTTCCTTCTTCCCCCTCTAGCTTTCCATTTTTCTACCAGCGTCCACTCTGTCGCTGCCATCTCGGTCGAGCTCCGCCGCCGACGTCGGGTTCTGCCGCCGCCGTCGAGTTATGCCGCCGCCGTCGCTGTCAGCTGGTTTCCATTGAGGAAGAGCAGGGATCGCCTTCGGGTTGCCAAATTCGCCTTCTCTAGTCTCTAGCCATGAAAGAAGGGAGGATAGAAGGTTGGGTGAGGTAGAACTGTAAAAGAAGTAGATTGGAGAATTGAAGAAGGGGAAAAGAAAGAAAAGGAATGAAGATGGGGGCTGAACTACTGGGCAAGAATGAAGGGAGGAGATGGTTGGGTAAGGATGTGGGTTAGAAGCAGTAGGGAAGAAGAAGAGTGGATGAGTTGCGGGGAGAAGAAGGGGAAAAAGGAAAAAAAAAAGGAAGGAAGAGAGGGGAGTTGCAGAGCATAGAGTCGGTAGGGACGAACAGGAGAAAAAAAATGAAGAAGAAAGAAATAAAAAAAAGGAAAAAAAGAAAAAAACAGTACAAAATAGCCAAGTGGAATCCGTATCAGCAAATATAGGGGCTACCGGTCGTTTACCGGTTAAATGGTAAAATTGGTGAAAATTTGACAGTTCATGGACTTAATTGATTGAAAAAATAGTACATGGACTCAATTGACTTTTTCGTAATAGTAAATGGACTGATTTGACAGTTTTCCCTTTATGATAATTCACTCAAACGTGTACATCAATCTGTCCATATTACTACATTTATTGTTGTGTTATACTCCGTATTTACTACTACCCTGTCACTTAAAACTGTGTCAAAGTTGACCGGCATGAAGAATAATAAAGTAAAAATTGTGTAATTGAGGTTTGCGCAGAGGAGAGAGAAATAACAGGAACCACAAAATAATTGATTAAAGGGGAAAGTGACAAAATTTTTTGGAACGTCCCAAAAAGGAAAGATGACAAAGTTTTAAGGGACGAAGGGAGTACTACGTAATCAGGGCCGGGCTTGTTAAGGGCCCTGTTCAAAATAAAAATAAGAGGCCCCAAAATATATAAAAACAGTTGCAAAAAATTGTGGCTCATCCATATCAAAATACGGAGTAAATCTTATCATGAGCTTACTTTGCTATATTATTAATCCTTGTTACTTCGTATATCTTTCATACACTTAGTGATACGGAGTATTTTTTAATGGTATGAGGCATATTAAAATAGATAAATGAAAAACATAAAACTAAAAGATAAGCACAACAATGCTCAACCACGAACTTTTCAATTTGCGTAATGGACGCTATAAGTTGGCACTTAAACTACACAACACATGTAGCCATAATATTAAAGATACATACTTAAGAATGCACTCAGAAAAAATTAAATTAAAAACGACTTCTATTTTCCCAACAAAAAGAAGTACGGAGTATCATCCAGAAAAGAGTATAAGCTGAATTTATTTAAAAACTTGGAAGGGATCCGAGAACTAAAATCAAATTACTAATTGAATATCTAAGTCTGTAAACAATCAAAAAATTACTTTGCATACGCCAAATAAAACCATTGTAGGGAGTGAAGTGGAGAGCAGAGGGCGAGAGCTTCAGAGGCTTAAATATTTGACAAAAGAGACGGACCAATGAGAGAAAAAAATAGAAGTGATCTCAAGAAGAGTCATCAATTCAATCGAGGATGTCGTAACTCGAGTTCGTTCTTCCGACTACTTAAGAGTCAATACCGTTTATAAAGTCTCGTAAATGTTGATTTTTTTCTCTAATAGCTAGATTAAATAAACAGATTAAATTTTGGGGCCTTTCCTTAAATGGGGCCCTGTGCAACAGCACCACTTGCACTTGCATATGGCCGGGCCTGTACGTAATTTACTTTGCCAATATTCTATATATAAAATGGCAAAATAATTACATTACCCTTGTGCCACCGCATCCACTGCCTCCCTCCCTCCAACAAGCATTGCTCGGCCCGCTGCAGCCGAAAAATATCTGGCCGTCATAAAGTTGATGGAAAAAAGCGCTGTATTTTATTCTTGTGTTTTTCAATTTCTTTTTTAAAATTTGTTTGAAAAGTCATTAGAAATATATGTCATTGTGACATGCTCCACAACGGCAATGACTCGAGTGATGGTTATATTGACATTGGCGCGTTGGTAGTGGTTCAACGACCAATCAATTGTCCGAAAATATCTATGTTATCACATCTTCTAGACGAAACTAATTGTACATCAAAAAGACGAACTAATTGTACATTAAAATTGATTTGAAGTTCAAGAAAAAAACATAACTTAATTTGTAGTGAGTATTTTTCTTTTTAAAAAGCTAAAGATTTTAAATACCTCAAAATAGCTCTAGTATTACTTGTGAAATACTTCGTACTACCTCCGTTCTCTTTTAGTTGCAACATTGGACTTTTTGCACTATTCACATGTTCTACTGTTACTACATTTTATTAATTGATGTATAATAAATTAAATTTTTAAAAAATATTGTTAAATTCTTCTTATTCTAAATTTTCAAAATATGATTTTTTTTAATTTTTTTACTAATAAGGAATGAAAGATATTTATGGTCAAACTTGTGCGTTGGCAAACGTGAAATGTTGACTGTTGCAATTAAAAAGGAACGGAGGAAGTATTACATAAACTCCCTTTAGAGATTATGGTTCAAAGTATAAATTGTGTATATATGTTGTTGAAATGAAATAGGTCTTGTTCAAGGATGGGCAGCCATAATAATGGGAATCCTCTCCGGAAGCGTACCCTGGTTCACAATGATGATCCTCCACAAGAACAGCACCTTGCTCCAAAGAATCGACGACACTTTAGGCGTCTTCCACACCCACGCCGTCGCCGGCCTGCTCGGCGGCTTTCTCACCGGCCTTTTCGCCGAGCCCACTCTTTGCAACCTTTTCCTCCCCGTCACCAACTCCCGAGGCGCCATATACGGCGGCTCGGGATGGATGCAGCTGGTGAAGCAGCTCGCCGGCGGCGGTTGTGTCATCGGGTGGAACATCGTGGCGACGTCGATCATATGCGTCTTGATTCGCCTCGTCATCCCGCTGAGGATGTCGGACGAGCAGCTGGAAGTCGGAGACGACGCCGTTCACAAGGAGGAGGCGTACGCCCTGTGGGGCGACGGAGAGTACGACGCCAATCAGAACGGATCCTCGCCGGACGAAATAGCTTTGCAACAGGGACACTTTCATCCCCGGTCGCCGATTGGGGCAACTCAAAACGTCTGAAACTCAATATATTGATTCTAGCGGTAGGATGATTTTGGTATTCAATTCAATTCCGCTTACAAATTCTTGAATTGTGAATTAAAACTATTGAATTGTGTTATTGATAGAGTAATATTTTTGATAATTCGTTTATGATTGATTAAAGTGATGTGTACGTATGCACAAATGTTTAGTGAAGGTAGTGTATTTGGAGTGATTTTTTATACACAACAATTTCTTTCTTTATTTTACACAAAAATAGTATACATTACGCACACTTTCGTACGTAATTGTTTGTGCATACAGACAATGCTACCACAAGTTGTCTGTGTACAAAGGTAATTGGGGATGTACACATTACCTGTGTGCACAAACATTTATGTATAATATGTGTGGAATGTGTAAAAATTTCGTGTACAATTATTTTTTTCTTTTACACAAGAGTCCAAAAGAGTGAGATAAAAATGAATTTTGGCCGTCTCTAAATCATTCGCCTTGGAATTGTTTAATCTAGTTGGGGCTCCCTTAAAAGCATCAGGTGCCGAGATTGTCAATTTATCAGCACAATTGTTTCCTTTTCATATGTGTGGTTGAGATGAATGCCTCCTCCAAGAGGTTCTTCCAACCTCTGATAAGTGCTACGGTTTTATCCCTGTTTGTCCCATACATATTTTTCACTCTCAATGGAATCGCCCACCTGCCAACTCGCCCAAAGCAGGCGCTCCGGTTGCTCCCACAATATGATCTCAGATAGTTTAAGAGAGTGAGTTCAGAATGTGGTGCGCACAATGATTGACTACATTGAGGGAAACTTCCGCACTGTCGTTGTCGGAAATTGAATTTGAAACCTCAACTGAACTGCCAATTTAGCCGTTGTTGACTTGCCTATGCAATACTTTTCACTCATTTACACACCCTTGAGTGACATGAGACTATATTTTGAGTGATATGTTAACTAAAGATAGATGTGCTCACTGTATTTAAAAGTCGACAAATACGGAATTTTAGACCTAGCTTGAAAAATTAAAAATGAATAAATTCCAATTTACTGATATGAGTTGAGTATCACACCTATTTTATAAATGGTCAAATTTTATTTTTATTTTGACCATTTATGATACATGACCACACGATTCAAAAACTTAAATATGGATGCCATCAATATGAAAATAGTATATAGACTCGATCAATAAAATACACTCAGTATATTATTATAGTTTAGTAAAACATTAATTATATTGTTGGAGTGACGACAGAAAGTTGAACGGGAAGGCCAAAAATATTCAAGAAATTAATATTAGAAAAGTACCAAAAGTGAATATAGTGAAAGATATCGACTAAATAGGAAATAAGCAAAAACTCATAGGAACAAAAGTGAAACTAATTCATCAAAAATAACCAAGAAATTGAGTTCCTTAGCATTTATCTTAATTTAGAGGAATTTTTGAGAATATATATATATATTTTATAAACTAAACAATATTCAAGATTGTTAAAAAAATTAAAAAAACTCAACGGCGTAATAATGTTTTCAAAAAAACTCAGTAATTTAGGAATTGAATTAAGAAAACTGATTTTCAAATCTTAGATTAATAGTGACATTTCTTGATTATTATGGTTGACTAGTTTTCAAGCTCGTGCGATGCACGGGCAGTACGTAATTTAGCTAATTTTAAATGTGATTTTTCATAAATTGGTTGTGGAAGAAATTTATATTAATTAATAAATGAAGTTTTTCATTGACGCTATTTCAATAGTTGTACATCCATTAGGATCATTATCATTAACAACCATGCCAACCACATCTGCAAGAACAATATTTAGTGGCATAATTTGATTATGGAGATATAGTACCGATATAATATTTAGTAATAATGTTTTGTCATACCAGTCAAAAGATATTGACTCCCGAGACGGCTCTTTAAAATGTTGAAAGATACGAAGTCAAATTTATAATTCGGCACTTCAATTGCTTCTGCTTTGACTTCTTTGATGATAGTGATATGAAAGAATTGTATTATGATTTTATTATCGGCGACAACACGATACTTTTCTTTATTTGGAACCACCGAGAATTTTTTTATGATTTGTAACATTCCTTCCTTTATTTTGGGACGTAACACATAATGTATGAACATATCCACTTTTATAGATGCATGAACATAATCACCCTGCAATTATGAAAAATATCATTAGACTTTTGTGTAAAATAAATGCATTAAAAATTCAAAATTAAAAAAAAATACCTCTTCATCGATCAGAACCATGTCTAGACAAATTAAGCTTCCTTGCTTTTTGTGATTGATGATATCACAGTGGCGCGTAACATGAACTTTGATTGTCCAGTCGGACTTGGATGTATCATGTTGTCACATTAGAGAATAATTTCTGCATTTTATGTAATTTTAATCAATCAGGTATAATGCATATTATCATGTGTCATAAACATATTATTGGCAAAGTATCATAATACCATATTTTTTAATAATATATAATTAAAACAATGTATGAACTTACTGTGATGACATTCTTGATATATGATCTCTAAACAATAGGACTATTCAAACGAAGGAGAAACTCAATTAGAACTAAAAGAATAGTGAAACTGTGAAAGCATACTTTGGTTTACATTTTCTTCCTTTTTATAATATTAAGTGTTCAACTCTCTGTAATTTTTATGTTTCTAAATTCCGAATATAAAAACATAAAATATGACCTACGAATAGTAACATAAAATATGTGATATTAAATATGGAAGATCCATTAATTAAACTTAGATTCCCTTACGTACTATAATATTCAATTCCATTAATTAAACTTTGATGTTTTTCCCATTAATTAAAGAGATATTACCCGAAATAGGACTAAAAAGGTTTAAAAATTCCAAAATAGGACTGCCATGTTTTTATTCCCAAAATAGGACTAATTACTGTCATGTTTTGGCAGTACCAGACTTCAAACATGGCAGTATTTTCCAAACTTGACAGTAATTACTCCTATTTTGGGAATAAAAAATATGACAGTCCTATTTTGGAATTTTCAAACTGTTTTAGTCCTATTTCGGGAACTTTCCCTTAATTAAACTTTGATGTTTTTTTTTTTTGAAAGGACGTAGGTTTGATGTTTCTAAATCCAATTGAGGTTGCCGTGATTTTGAGGTTGCCAAATTTACCAAATAAGGTGAATTTCTATATCAACATGTAATAAAAATAGAATGTAATAATAAAATAAAAGGTACAAAGTTCCTCTTTTATACACACACATATATGTATATATATATATATATATATATATATATATATATATATATATTGATTTAGAAGTTCTTAAAAATTCTAGCCCAAAATTCTAAGCTAAGGGTGTCTTGAATTCTTGACTAGGGATCATAATTTAACTTAGAGAATATTATCCGAAATAGGAGCAAAAAAGTTTGAAAATTCCAAAATAGGTATGCCATGTTTTTATTCCCAAAATAGGACTTATTACTGCCATGTTTTGGCAATACTAGACTTCAAACATGGCGATATTTTCCAAACTTGGCAGCAATTACTCCTATCTTAGGAATAAAAACATGTCACCCATATTTTGAAATTTTCAAACTTTTTAGTCCTACTTCGGGAACTTTCCCTTTAACTTGTGGAGGGGCATGTCGGTCCCATTTGTTAAAAAGCTCAGCCCGGTCCATAAGGTCACTGTTAAGCCTAGTTCAATATTTGAAGGTGTGGGTGCATATGGGACAAGGTATCAGAAATCTCGCATGCCCATTATTAGCTCATTCCATCATTACTCATTCAGCCCATCCTATTGCCCATTAAATCTAGCTGAGAGAAAAGCATTTATGCGCTACTTATTAATTAAATATAAATACTAGTGTAAAACCCGGGACAATGCACCGGTAGCGCGTCAATGTGATTTCTATTAAAATGAAAAATATTAAGAGATTGTGATTTAATCATAGGATCAAAAAATTGAATATAATGCATTTTTACTATGATCGATCTGATCTAACCACAACCAATTATAAATCTATACATGTTAAATGAATATATATAAAATTATCCATGTAATATATATTTACTCTTTAGTCTATATCAAAGTTTTTATTGCAATAGCATTGCGATTGCGGTTATCACGGTTGTGGGCCTGTGGCTATTGCAGACTTTGTGGTGTGTAATGTTAACATGTATTATGCGATGTCAATAACAGAGTCACTCATAGCATTTCATAATTCAAGTTTACTATATAGATGAACTAGATAATAAGAAATTTGGTATTGTTTTAGACATTTTTTGAAAAATTAACTTTAAAATGTAAAAATAAATTATGAGATCTTAATTTTAGCTTTTGAATTTACGTAAAAAAGTTTTGGGCTTTATTGACAAAAAAAGTTCTAGGCCTAAAAATCGCCACCAATGGGATCTTCACATTTTTACATATACAATATATGTGTCACATGAAGATCATGAAAACTTATTAATTTTGATATTTTTTTATAAATATTGGAGTACAAATAGAAAAATTATAACACTTTTAAAATAATAATTTTTTCTCCTCTCTTTTCTCTAAGTAAATGGCGAATGCAGTGTGATTCATAAAAAAAACCTGATGCACTGTGACCTTGGGAGAAATAATTAAATGTTTTAGTTAGAGTAATAGTTTGATTTTTTGAATGAATGATAGATTTACACGTCATTGATTTATAACCCAGTTTTACTATATACTACGTATAAAACAATAGATTTAGATGGTTAATGCACTATAATTTGAACATAAAATTACAACAACTACTCTATATAATTAAAAGGCTTAAATACGTTTTTAGTCCTTGCAAATATGACACACTTTGTTTTAGGTCCCTGCAAATATTTTTTTTTCATCCCTGTAATATGCACCATTTTGGGTTTAGTCCTCAAATTCCAAAACCACTCAACTTAGAAAAACATTATTGTCAGTTGCATAGATTTCTTAGAAATATTTAAATTTTCCTTTTATAATTTTTTTGAAGCTAATATGAGAGTTAAAATAATGTAAAACTAAGTATTCACATTTAAAAAATATATATTAAAAGCCTTCAAAAAAATTAAAATAATATAAACTTTTAATAACATGACAAAGAATTAGAGGAAATCTATTAGTCAAGGTTATTTTGAAGTCCAGCGGAGTTGTTATCATCAATGATGGATTAAAAAGAAAACTAGCATAATAAATTGTAGG